GGCTTTTTATTATCCTGTTTTGACATCCCATAGACGGATAGACTTATCTCTACTACAAGAAGCTAATGTATTTCTATCAGGAGAGAAACAGACTGAGTAGACAGTATTAGTATGACCATCTAATTTGGCTTTTTATTTTCTAGTTTTGACATCCCATAAACGTATAGACTTATCTCTACTACAAGAAGCTAATGTATTTCCATCAGGAGAGAAACAAACTGACAATACCCAATTACTATGACCATCTAATTTGGCTTTTATTTATCCTTTTTTGACATCCCATAGAAGGATAGAGTTATCTTCACTACCAGAAGCTAATGTATTTCCGTCAGAAGAGAAACAGACTGATATAACAGCATCATCATGACCATCTAATTTGGCTTTATATTATCCTATTTTGACATCCCATAGACGGATAGACTTATCATCACTACCAGAAGCTAATGTATTTCCATCTGGAGAGAAACAGACTGTATTCACACAATTACCATGACCATGTAATTTATTTAATTCAAAGATTTTCAAGTTTTTCCATTTACAATTGAATAGTTAAGCACCATTCAAATTCAATCCGCTGATATCTACATTATCAAACTCAGATCCACTAAAGTTACATCTTACAAAATTTCCTCCATTTACAGATGTATTCTTTATTCTGATATTCTCAAAGGACTGGTTTCTAATATCAACCTTCATCTAAACTAAGGTGTTTAATGAATTAGACCCACATTAAATAAAAGTACCATCTATGGATGTTAGATGAACTAAAAATTTGAGAAATTCTATGATCAATTTATTATCCTTGATGCTATTAATTAGAAATAATTTAGATTCTTCATTTTCTTCAGAGGAAAAGTCTTTGTTGTTGAAGTCATGATCTTTTAATTTTTTTAAGACATCTGTCATTTATTTCATGTCTTCTCTCACAAGAGACAATTTTTATTCCGTATCAGCTTGGGTGATATTCTCTATTTGTTGTAAGATTTATTATTCTAAATTTATTTGATTTCTATTGTCGGAAAGATATCCAATACAATCTTAAACTTTTTCCTTTCGTAATATTTTTAATATGACTCCAAAGATTTCTTCATCTACATTTTTAACTTAACTAAATATATCAGCTAGAGCTTCCTTCTCTTATAAAGAGCCTTGCATTTTCTTTTTTATTTTTAATATTGAATTTCTATTCCACTAACTTTCATTTATATACTGCAAAATCGATAAAAATATCTTGTGTATTTTTGTAAAATAGAAGTTAGGACTTTGTGTAGATTTGGAATTGATTGTAGTAGATGTTAATGATGATATCAAGAATTCATTCCAACATCTGCAATACTTGATTTTTTTATAATATAGAATATTTTTATTTTATATGAAAATTGAATTATTAATATATATTTTTCTTGTTAAACTTTTATTTAGAGAACAAATAATTTTAATTTTTCATCCAGCTATTTTGAGAATGGATAATGTTTTCACGTTTTCAGAAAGAGTTGCCATAAATAAATTTGTTATTCTTCTTGTTTTTCAGAGAGAATTGAAACTTTAATTAGATCCAGAATTTAAGATTTTAAATTAATGAGTAAAAGTTTGTATGATCCACCAAAAATTAATTGTTTAGAAAAATCAAAAGGATACTTTTTCAAGGGCCCATTTTTACATCCACATTTGGTATGACCCCTCATAAACAAGTTGCTACCTCTTGAGGGAAATTGTAGTCTCATGGGCTGCTGAATGATATATGATATGCCCATATTTATTATGACTCATTTTTTTATGACCCTTCTAATGGAGGTTGCTATGTCTTTGGTGGAAAATTTTGGTGATAAAAAATGATTGAGAACAAAAAAAGTGAAGATGTACTTTTTGTAAAAATTGC